CGATTGTTTTTGTTACTATTTTCTTATGATGAAAAAGTAATTTTGTTTAATTAATTGTTAGTAAAGCATAATGTTATTTTAAAGGTAATAGGTTCGCCCTAAACTTTACTGTAATGTTCGTTTAATTAATTTTAATTGGACAAATTCATGGTGAATTTAATGTCATAACAAGAATTATGAAATGAATAAAATACAAACTTTTGTAAAGAGAACTATCGTATTTTGAAAGAAGATAATGGATGAAATATCGTGGCGAGAGCTATCGCAATTTGAAAGTTAAGTAGTAATAAAACTAAACCAAGCAAGAATATTAATGTTTCGTGGAGAACGAATATACATTAAAGCAGGGAAGCTTGTTTACCACCGGGTGGCAGACGGGGGTGACAACGTGAGTGTTAGTGTTTTACGCCACACCTCTTCGGGTATTCACCAGGCATCTTATATAAGCTACGTGAAGAATATAGTAATTCAGGCGAATAGATAGCTGTCTAATAATGTAACATCTGATTGATTCGCAGCCATACCTTATTCCAAAACTCAACAATGCTGTTTATCGCAGAACTTGCAGTCACAGACGTATTTTGGCAGTAACCTATTTTTATTGATGAATACGCTATTTTCTTCACATGTTATTGTTATACGTTGGGAAGAATCCTTTACAGAAAAAAATATGGTGTAACCAAAGTTAATAGACCGCCCGACAGAAAATATAAAGATCAGGTAGTTATAATTTCTGTAACAGACTGCAATGAGACAATAGCATGGCCAAATTGCAATATCCTTTGCTACATATACTGTACTCGCCTTCAAGCATCGCTCATCAAAGACCTGTGTACTTGTTATGGTATTACTCGATACATATTCAATTACGTTTTGTTATACCATGTGGGATTTTACGTATAGCTGTCCGTGCAGATAGTTCTATATACATAGATTAGTGAAAGTACAACTGTTACTTTTGTTGTTACAGTATCTGTCAATGCACTATGTAGCATTAGCATTACTCATGCCACTAACTTCTCGTAGGAATTACAGTCCCGCATAGGCAAAATAAGATTCAGTATGTCCTTATCATAGACTCCCACTGAAAATGTCGTATAATCTACAGCACTCCAAGAATTTTTACTTTTTCGTTAATAACATCTGCAGTACAGTGGAGTGTTCATCACCTCTTGTTACCCTCAAAAGGTTAAATGGAAAGATGTGGACGAAATGCCAAAACGAATTTCACGAATAATTCACGAATACCGAAACAGTACACTACATTATTCTGTTATAGGAAATGTATCGTTATTGATTGTAACTTCATGATCATTGGTAGACAGATCACCACTAATCTTAATTGTATTGTTTTCGTTTATACTAATGTCTACGTTGCCAGATTCTAACCCTAGATATCGCACGTATTGTGCTAAGACAGTGGGTTTAGCAACCAGCTTAATCTGTATATGGGCTTGTTTCCCTTAATCCTAATTGCTGAGATGTCGTTTGCTGGTTTCGAATTCAATGATCGCAAATAAACCCAAAACACTTTAGTTTTTTGGGATTCGTGCTCTTTTTCTGCTAGGCATCTCGGCCTCTTTTTTGTAGACGACACCTGATCTTTGTTTGATGACTTCTGTGTCTTTTCAAAAACAATAATCAGGTCAAGCTTTAGTCGGCTATTTTCTTCTAAGTCAGTGACAATCAGTGTTGCATTAAATTGATCATCTAGTTTGTACTCTAACACAAGCTCGAATGACATTGCCTATATATAGGAAACAAAAAACTATTTTCAATAAGAGCGGCCACTAACGATATATCAAAGTAGCCAAATCTGGGTGTTCTCTGTGTACTAAGTACAACTTCCTCCTAACCAAAAGTAACGAAAAGATCATTCACACATTAGTGTGTATTATCATAGCTTACCATGGGAAGTGTCATGCAGGAAATGACATTGATGCCAAACGCATGCCTGTATTTCTTGGACAACTGTTTGAACCGAAGTCATCGAGATAAGTGATGTCATGTGAAACTAAAAGGAATCCCTATCTCCATATGTTCTGACTTTTCTGGAACCAGTTATCGATGAACAAACAATTATACGATGTGAGTGAGAAGCGCACCCTATGGGCTTATGAACCGACCGTCTTGTCCTAGATTCCATCTAGAACTGGAATGACTAGGACGAAGTCCTAGAAAGAATGTATCCGTCAATTGGTTATCGCTTTTTTACTATACAAAAACCTTATCAATTACCTGACCGTCTTGCCGCTCAACCACGCTAGTTAAATAAGGAGGTTCTAGGAACCTTGGTTCATAGGTATGCGGAAAAATCTCCAGTCCATGTAATGGACCTTCCAAGGGAAGTGATTTTTTGAGGAACGAGGGGCTTTAGCCTAAGCGTCTTGCCGCTCAACCACGCTCTGTATTCGTTTTTTACAATTCTTATACATTATCAATTACGTAGATGATAAAATAGACAAATGTAGGCAAAAAAAAATCTCCATGATTTTTCGAGGTACAAGGAAAATAATGGAGTAAAAATAATGGAGGCTGTTAACAGGGAGGTTCTAGGAACCTAGGTTCATAGGGCAAGACGCTTAGGGTAGTCCGTTCAAATCTTTAACACGATAACTTTTACAGTAGCTGTGCTTTCTCGTGCACAATCTATTATGTTTCACCTAACAGGAAATATACGAAAGATGTCCAACTAATTGCTTCTTTATGAAAACAAATGTGATATACAAAGAGAAACGGTACTGCATTCACTTTGCGTTCAATAATAGCACAAACTTGTATTGTGACGTTAAGCACTTCAATATCAGGTCATTGTGTTGTCGATAATCTGGTTTCTAATAAACAGTACCAACCGGAAAAGTATGGCCTGAAAGTATCTTCAAAAGCACAAGTTCAGTTGAAAAAGATGATGATAAATGATAGCACTAAGAATGCTCGTCGCCACTAAAACTGTATCGAAAAAATACTTTACAGAAACTTCCGATTTTGCCAAATATATTAAACATATTACTGATAAATAACATTTATATATTCAACATATTGCAATGTTTGAAATATTGCTAATATATAGTTAATGCATTAATACAATATAATCATAATATGATTTTTATATGCCAAAATATATATTAAAAGTAAAATATAAACAATGTGTGAATAAAATATAATTGTGATATATTTAATATATGCCAAAATCAATGCTAAATATAAAATATAAATAATGTGTGAATAAAATATATTAAAAATATGATTTTTATATGCCGAAAATACATATTAAAGTAAATATGATTATTATATGAATAAAATAAATCCAAAATATAATTTATATATGCCATAATACATATTAAAAGTAAAATATAACCAACATATGAATAAAATATATCCGAAATATGTTTTTTATATGCTGAAATTCATATTGAAAGTAGAATATAAACAATATGTGAATTATGTGAATACAATATAATCATAATATGATTTTTATATACCAAAATTATATATCAAAGTAAAATATAGTTAACATATGAGGACTATATGTGAATATAAATATATAATACAATTATCATATGATTTTATATGCTAAAATATATGTACGTTGAAACTATCTAGTACAGAATTGATTTCATAAAATATGATAAACAGATAGAAATTACATAGTAAAAAATATAGTACTAGTATTTATGATATGTTTAAATTCAATATAATATGACAAAATTAAATTCTACAACTAATATAAATAAATAAAAACTGATCTAAAAATATGGTTATGATCTTATAAAAATATTACAAAATATGTTTATGATGTGTATTTATTTTTTATATATATATTAATATGCCCATTACTGAAGATACCTCTTTTTGTCACCGTGAAATAGGCAGAGGAACAACTGACAATGGCTTTCCTACTATAAATAAAAAGAAAAATGCCAATTGTATGTTATATGCCATACAACACTATAAACTGTCAAAAACCATAATAAATTAGCATCATACTATAATAATTACTAATAAAAAGAATTACAAAGAAAGAATTCAAAGAAAAGGAACATTTATAAAATTATTAAAAAAATTAATTAAAGAATAAAACTTTTTTTTAAAAAAAATGCGAAAATCTTATCCTAAGTTAATTGCATGTCAAAGAAAAAAAAAATTTAAAGGGAAATTATAAATGAGGAAAGAGAAAATTGTAAAGAAAAAAAATTAATAGGCTTGTAAATTTCTATTAATAAAAAATTTTTTTGTAATTGTTTAAAAAAGAAAATTAAAAAAACGTGAAAAGCTTATAGCTTATCTGTGCATTATCACATGATAATATAGTATACTGTATCTACTGTATCAACTGTATCATGAGCTAAAATAAATTACAATAAAATAACGCGTAATGATCAATATTAAACTTTTAACGCCATAACACGTGCACTATAAATTCCTTTTTATATTTCTACTTTTAAAGACATCTTTTCTGCCCACCACCCATTTTCTTTTGTTACAAAACTGCCTAAAATAATCTTCCTCCCCACTATCATATTAAAAAAATTATTAACCAAAATAAAAAAAGAAATTCTTAACTAGATCCTATACAGTTAGTGCTAGGTGACTTGCAAAATTACAAGATAGACTGTGAGAAATCAAAATTACACTAGTCTTTCCAGCTCAAGAAAAGCCATCATACTTAGAATTAGATGGTGATTCTTTAGTATCGTCAGACGTATCTGAACATAGATCAGTGTAGTGCCATTGACGTGCTCCAACTGTTGTGAAGTAGTCTGGCTAGCAAAAATTTCACGTATTCTTCTTCTAAACGTTCTCGTATATGCGATTTTTTCACCAAATGACATTGTCTGGAAAAGGAGGACATATGTTCATGATAAACATCTTGGTAGAAAGTTAAGTCTCACATTAATGCTTTACGGGTATTGAGGTGCTTCGTCTAGAACTGTGAGTACTATATGTAAATTCCGCATTACGATTCACTAATGATTTATATTTATGTAAGATGTACCGATATATTTTCTCTGAAACAAAAGTATCGTTGCATAGAGGTCTGACTGTACTTTAAAATGGTTAAATCAAAATATAATACTTTGGTAAAAAAAAAATATGTAACAATAAGTTTATGAATATTTTTATTAAATAAAAACTACAAGTAAAAAAGAAATAAAATAAAAAACAGAAATATTTCACATATTTCACATATTTAAAATATTTAAAATTTCATACATTTTAATTCTCAAACTTCATTATTCTCATTTGTTTCAGTTGCTTCATTTGTTTTAATGACTACAGTCTCATCGGTTTCGTTAGGTTCATTAGCTTCATTGGCTTTATTGGTCTCATTGTTTTCATTAGTTTCATTGTTTTCATTGGTCTCGTTGTTTTCATTAGTTTCATTAGTTTCATTGGTTTCATCAGCTTCATTGGACTCGTTGTTCTCGTAAATTTAATAAATTTTATCTAATTCATCTAATTCAAAGATTTCTTTACGTATCTAATATAAAAACCAAATGGAATACTAAGTAATTTTTCGGAATGTTTTATTCAGCAAAATATCCGTTCATTTGGCGAAATATCAACAAAATGGAATTCAGTGAAATGGATTTTGGCGAAAAGTCCCAACACCGTTTTAGGTTTTATTATACGCACGTATTTGTTCCTATTCAAAGATATATTAGTAATCGATTCGCATGTCCCTCTATATATTAGCTAACTAAAAAAATTGAAATCAGTCTTTATCGTATTATTTATTATTTTATTGTTCGAAATTAAATGTTTTCCACCCCTTAGTAAAAAGTTGTACGAATTTCATTTTATATTAAAATAAGGTAATATAATATTCATCTTATCCTACTTATTCAGATTATTTTTGCATTGATAAATAACAAAATTGGCTCTCATTTACCCTACAAAAAGTTTTTATACCAAATTATACCAAATGAGCTCATTTGCTCTAAATTGATCCAAATTTATGCAAAAAATGATCCAAATAATCCATTTGGTATAAATTTAGTATGAACACTTTTTATAGGGGCATTTATTGATTAATTTTTTAATTTCACGCGATAAATTCTTTCTTTTTGTTTATTTATTCACATGCAAACAAATAAAATAAAATATGTATAGTCAAAATATTTACTTATAAAAAAATAAGTATATATATATCCCAAATTCCTGACGTAATATTAGTAAACGATTAAACACAATTTTAAACCTTCTTAAAAACTTGCATATAGGTATCAAAATTATGACTTATTTTAATTTAAAATTATGATTCAATTATTATTGTTTCTGGTAATTAATATTAAATTACAAATTTGTAGAAATCAGTCAAATCACCTTAATATAATCAAGCATTATGAAATTTCCTATCTTTTTAACGCTCATTATCATTTTATTTGCTATGGCTTTTGTACTGGTCACTGAAGGTAAAATCTTGAAATATTAAACATGTTCGCATATACAAAATATAAACTTTAAGCAAACTACTTAATTGGTTACTAGGATATATCGCTAAAGTTAATAGACATATGGGCGGATTTTGTAAGATTTGGGTTACAGATGTTAATGGTAATTATGTAGCTGGTAATAAAAATTACCATAGATGCGACCTAGACACTAGATTTAGTATTGATACAGGATCTAGTGATGCATACTATCTTAATGCACATGTTAAAGCTAGTACTAAGAAAACAAAGCATCGTGGACCATTTGTGGCTGATGCTGCTATGATATTCGTGGTTTTACGTTTGATTGGACATTTAATCCTTACGAATATTGCGAATAACACGACGTAAATATCCTGAATTTATCACGCATATAAAAATAATGTAGACATGTTATTACTAGTTTAATATTACTAGTTTAATATACATGGATAAACATGTTAAAATTAATAATTCATCATATTGAAAATTACCGTACTTAAACCTTTTCCGTATTTCCACATTTTGATAGTATTCCGCAGTAAAAAAAAATTTTTGATTTTTTACTATACACTATATATGTATATATATGTATACTCAAAGGAAGACCAAACCAGATTTTAGTGATGGATACTTATAGTGCAACTCTTTTGAAGAAAATTTTCATACTGTGAAGATAATATTTTTGTGTTTTTCTGTCTTGTTGATTTGTGTTTAAAAAAAAAAAAAAAATTTTTTCTGCGTTGGTTATTCACGAACCAATCAGATTAAAATTATAGACCGGGCTGATTTGGCAAAACTTACAAACCGGAAGCTGGTAGAAACGTAATTGGTGGATCTCATTTCGCGGTATAATAAGTATGTTCCAAATGTTAAATGTATCAAATGTATCATAGTTTTTTTATATTACAATACTTAATAAATACTCCGCTATTTTTGTAACTATGAATAAAAAATACTACTGATACGCAATAGTATTAGGTTGTAATTGCATAGTACTTTATTAAGTCACAGAATCATGACTTGTTAAACCGGAAATTTAATTCATCACATCGTCACACCCATATTTATCTGAGGGACTTGTTTTTTTCGAGTAGGCAAAAACTTATTCCTCTTATTCGTCACTGTTTATTTTTACGTGTTAGTGTGCGGCCTGTGTGCAAAATTTTGCCAGTGCGAATTACTGCGGTATCATGACTTAACACGTGATTTTATTTCGACTGTGTGTCTGTTACTACCTGTCACTTTCTAAAGTTTTAGCTGGAACATTTTTCTTTTATAACTGAATAAGCATCTTTTATCCGCGATTCCCATAACACAATAATCATATCCCTCCAGGCAAGATATTAATAAAAATTCATTACGATCATATAACTAGTAGATGTCAGACTTTTGTAGTACCAATATGAGTGATACCGTATTAAATGGATTGCGAAATTAACCATTTTCAAATGAGTAATTATATTCATATTTTTATCACATTACATCGATCTATTAATAATTATCTAACATTAAATTATTAATATTTTTTATTCTAGACTTAAAGAGTAAAGACTACTCATAATGAAAATTTCATGCATCGAAATTTTCATAGTGGAAATTTATTGTCGTTAAAGAAGATCATAAAAAGTAGGTAATTGGAGATTTAAGATATTAAATCCCTACAAAAAATAATTCATTGAATAATGAAATATATGGAGTAATACCTTATGTCGCACCAGAAATATTTCAAGGTGTTTTATTTTCAAAGATCCGACATGTATTTTGGGTATAATTATGGGACTTGTAAACCTTTTTCTAAAGTTTAACATTATACTGAACTTATTTCAGATATTATTAATGTTATTAGACTTGAAATTACACTTGATACTCCTGAATGGTATGCTAATTTAATAAAAATATGTCGGAATTCGATTCTAACTTGACAAAAAGTACCTTCCAGGACAGAAATTAAAGAAACCATTGATGATTGGTACAAAAAACGTAAAAAAACCGACAAAATTTTGGCAAAAGCTGAAGAAAAACGATCAGAGTTAATACAATCGAAGTAACTTTGTCTCGAATTTACTGAAAAACAACGTCCTGGCGCTGTTTATACTGGTAGGTTTTTAAATTCTTAAATTTATCTATTAAATCATCATCAACGATATCAGAACTAGGAATGTCTGTATTTAATTGTTGGTATTTTATCTATTTTAATGGCGTAAAAATAATAATAAATAAATTTGCATTTAATTTTTTATAGTATACACTTAGATAATACTCCAAGGTATTGCTATGACCTTAATTTAAATTACAGTACATTAGGTTTTTGAATTTGAATCGTTGATTATAGGTTTATATTAAGACCATGTCCCAAATTATCGGCCCAATCTAATAATGCCTTATGATTGTACAATGATCTCTTAATTTAAGCCGATGGTAAGGTTTGGGACATGATTTGGTTTGGTCTACAACGGCTATATGGCATTTATATTCATAATAATTTATAATTAATAGAATATTGAAATAAACAGCTTATAACAATATTTTTTTTTTAAAAAAAGAAAATTCACATAAAAATAAAATTTTAAAAATATTTCGACTCTGACACAGTTAAGATAAAATGAATTATCAAATATTGCTTTTTATTAAATAAAATAAATATAATCATTTTTAAATAATTCTCTTCTAAAAGTAAAAGAAATTTTCAGGATTTAAATAAAGTAATTGAAACAATAAACTATTTGTATCATTTCACAATAGAAAACCCAATAAATATTACTTATCCATATTAATCAATGCAAATTTTGCTACTATCTACACTTTAAAACTGTTTAGATGTACAATAATGATTCCATTAAAATGACAGGACATGATCATTATCCTTCACTTTACAAGATCTGCAATATAATGAATAACGAATTCTTAATTTAGATTAATTTCTCCTCTCAGACTTTTCAGATTTAAATGATGATAATCCAAATCCAGGAAATTCGTCCGTATCGTTTAATGAAAGTTGTTTAGGTTCATCAGATTTAATTGATGAAAATCCAGACACATTTGATTGTTCGGATTTTTCAGATTTTAAGAATGATGATGGTAACCCATATCCAAGTAATTCGTCCGTATCGTTTGATGAAAATCGTTTAAGTTCATCAGATTTAATTGATGAAAATCCAGACACATTTGATTGTTCGGATTTTTCAGATTTTAAAAATGATGATGGTAACCCATACATAAAAGAAAATCGTTTAAGTTCGTCTGATGACAATCCAGGCACATTAGAATGTTCAGATTTTTCAGATTTAAATAATGATGATGATCCAGATACAGTAAATTTGTTCGTATCGTTTGATGAAAATCGGTTAGGTTCATCAGACTTAATTGATGAAAATCCAGGCACATTAGAATGTTCAGATTTTTCAGATTTAAATGATCCAAATCCAAATCCAATAGGTTTGTTCGTATCGTTTGGTGAAAATCGGCTAGTTTCGTCAGATTTAATTGATGAAAATCCAGGCACATTAGAATGTTCAGATTTTTCAGATTTAAATGATCCAAATCCAAATCCAATAGGTTTGTTCGTATCGTTTGATGAAAATCCAGGCACATTAGATTGATCAGATTTTTCAGATTTAAATGATGATGGTAGTACAAATCCAGTAGGTTTATCAGTTTTCAATGAAGGTTCAGAAGATTTCCATTTGAATGTTTTTTCTCCATCATTTGATAAAGATCCTTGAACCTTGTTTATCCTAGGTTCATCATCATGTTGTGATGAAGTTTGATTTGATTTGTTATGTTTAATCTTACGAGGGTTTGATTTGTTACTTGACTTACTATTAGGATCCAGAAGATTCAAAAAAGTTTTCAATAAATCTTCATATAACTCCTTTGGTAAAAGTTTTCTATAAGGTAATACTTTATCCATAAATTCACCAGAAGATAAATTATAAAATCTAATAAATGAGATACAATGTTGTAAAGTATTCTTTAAAGTTTTTAATTCATCTTTAGAATAATCTGTAAAATTGGAAGGAAATTCTGGATGTTGAGAGATTCCCCATTTAATCACTTTCTCCCAAATTTGAACTTCGTTCATTTCAAGATAATCATTTTGAATAAGAGAAATCAAAAGTTTTTCCGGAATCGAAAAAAATTTTGGTGAATTAAATATCTTATCAGGTTCATCAGATATTAGATTAGTACAATATTTTTGAAGTTCCAAGAAAGAATTATTTTCGAAACTTGTTTGATATACTAAATCAAAATTTTCTTCCATCCATTTTGTTTTATTTTTAATTAAAAAGGATTGTATATAAATGATTAATTCCTCAAGATTTAATTCATTAGCAGCAATCAAGATTTTAATGATATTATAAGTATCACACTTTTTCAAAGATATTCTACCTCCATAAATATATCTACCGGTATGTATAATAAAAATAAAAAAAAATTTTTTTTTTTTTTTTTAATATATTTTTTATATATTTTTTGTTTTTTTAACAAATCAATATATTTACTGTAAAAATTTTGATTTCTTATTACCTTAAAATTATTTGAAAAATTTCGGGTGAAATATTTGGTAATTTAACTTGCGTCAAAGTTTCGTCATTTTTCTTTTTATTAGTTGATAAAATTCTTTTCAAATGAGGAGAACGATAATATAAAATAATGGTATGTGCACGAAATATTTTTATATATGGATCAATACCGACTTCAATGGTAACATCATGATACTCATCATCATTTAGAACTTCAAGTAAATTTTTAGATAATTTTAACATAAATTTATAATCATCCATTATAATTAAATTTTTAAAAGAAAAGAAAGAAAAGTAAAAAACAATGGAATCGTTTGAATGGTACGACGATATAAATTACAATAATTACAATAGATCCTCATGAACCTAATTTACCTCCTGCGTTTTATCTGCGTAACTACATGACTTCGAATAGAATAAATACAATTGTCCAATTCATATTCGTCTTGATCGTCGATCATACGAACCCCTTGAGCATCACGAGATTTTCGTTGGTCCAGGGTATTTTGTGTAAAAATCTTTTTACGTAGTTCTTAAATTAGAATGATATTAGTGTGATGGTTATAATTATGTCATGTACATGGTGGGTCAATCACGGAGTAGATTACAATAAAACAATTATTACGGTCAATTGCCACAAACATATATCTAAAAAAATAAAAAAATTTTTTAAATACTTTAACTTTGATCAATCTATATAAAAATTTTAGATAACATTTTACAAAAGTATAATAATTCTAATAATTTATTATTAAGATACAAATAATAAATTTTTGGCCTTTTATTTTAATGAGAGATCCGAATTTACAGTATATAAATAATATTTATTTCTTAATTCAAATAAATTACAAGAAATTAAATCTAATACTTGGACAAAAAGAAAAAATGATAAATAATAAACTATTGCCAAAATTATCTCAAAATTTACCGAAATTTTAAATGATCCTTACGTAAAAATGTTTCATGCTCTATATGATCAACCAAATATATTTCTTTTTCATTTGATAAAAAAGCTTTTCAAGTTCTATGTAGAAAATTAAAAATTATCTAAAAAGAATTATTCATCCATAAATTACTTGGAAGATAATTATAAAATCTAAGGTACATTATTATAAGATATTCCTTAAAAATTCTGAATTTTTTAGCGAGTCCCAAAGATGATTTGGTGATTGAAATGGCTTTCGGGTTTTAAATCACTTCCATTTTGCCTCATTATAAAATATCGCATTTCTCCAAAGAAATTCTTCTTCCATAAATATATCTAAAAAAATTATCAAGTATATTTCTGAGCAACAATAGCGTACAGTATTATTATATTTATTGTATAATCTAATTTCTTATTACCTCAAAATTATTTGAAAAATTCCCGGTGAAAATTCTTCGCAAGTAAAGACGATATCGTATTATACACGAAATATTTATACGTATGGATCAATTAATTATTATTAAAATATCATGAAAATTTTGAAATAATTTTTAGCAAAAGTTTATCATTAACCATTATAATTTGATTTTTAAAAAATAAAAAAAAATGTTCAAGGTGAACGATTTATAACTGCAGTTTAGGCTGTGTTCTTTGATTTTTGATCGTCCGGATCCCGGTTCATCCGTTTGGGGGCTCAGTCTTAAATTAACCAGAAATGCGGCTATGTTTTGTGGCTATACTCCTATTTACATAAGGCATTCTACCATATAAGGTAATAGATAATTTTTTCTTCGCATTATGGCATTTTATATTATCTATAGATAATTACGATTTTGATTTGGCCATCATCAAAAATCTTAATATTTTGTACGATGTACAGCATTAAAATTGTTTTTAATTAGTATTTAATACAATTATTTTTAACTTAGAAATGTTTTAATTTAATATGGATTTTTTGTTATCACAATTTTAATACAATTATAGACTAGTTCCTTTTTTTCTTAGCGGATTAATTTTAATTAAATTCTTTGATTATGTTTATGAAAATACTATTGAGATAAACCGCTAGTTTAGATTCTCGTCTAATACAACGATTTAAATATGTTAGCTCCTCTCGCTGCTGCATTTCTTTCTTCTACCGCATTTCGTGCGTGATACTGTTTTATCTACTTCTTCTTGTGGTGCCACTATATCTGCACATGTTCTATACTAAGATCATATATAATCTATTATATTAAATTTTTGTATTTAAATATTGTTATAATTTTCATTTAAATAATAATTTATGAAATTGGACGCTTTTTTATTTATAAGTTCTGAAAAAAATAAAAAAGATAAAATAATACGCGGTTTAAAATGGAATATACATAGAAAATGTAGGATTAGATGTAGCTTAGAATTTTGTAATTTTGTCTTTTTAATCTTTTTAAGATGGGTTGAAGAAAATATTTCTTTATTAAAAGTATGAGAAGATTTAGTTTGTTATTATCAAACTAGTAAGAATAATATTTTAATGGCCATTTGATGATTTGAACGAATAATATAGAAATTATTTCTACGGATTTTGGTATGTAGAACGGGTACATGGTTAGGTTTGTTCAATTGTATAAACGATCTAAGTATTTCCTCGATAATGTATAGTTTATCATTTATTATAAATTACTTACAAAGAGATGCGTTTATCAAAAAAAATTTTATTTAATAGACAAATCTGACGCGCTTCAGTTATCATCGGAAGCAAATCGCCGCCTAAAGCATAAAGGATCTCTTATTGCGAAAATAAAACGTTCAAATTATGGTACTATATTTTTCTGGACCATCGCTAATATCGGCTCTGAAATGGGAAATTTAATAATTTTAGCCGAAATCTACGATTAACAAAATCCTTAGATTTCGAATTAAATAATAATTTGTTGTACTTTATTTAAATCCTGATAATAAAATGACAAATTTTTCATGCTCTTATGGTTTTAAAAAAAGAATTATATAGAAATATCTGAAAAAATTTGATATTTGAAACTGAGCAATAACTATACTGATTAATTTGAATAAATAGGGTTGATGTTTCTATTTATAGAACGTTCGATCTTGACAAAAAAAAAAGGAATCAGCAATTTAAATCACGTATTTCTATTTATTAAACATAAAATATAACTAAATTTCATAAATTTTATTATTATTATGTTTCTTAAAAGAGATATAAAATTATGTCCAAGAAATCCATTAAATAATAATTTGAATTCATTATCATTTCTTACATCCTATCATATTTAGAATATCTAGGTGTTCTACCATTTCTAGGAAATCTAATGGGTTCTCGCGATTCTATGGATTCTTGTTGATTTTCATGCGAGCGGGATCCAAATATGTTAATCATATTCATGAGTACTGGTTGAGGCTCACTTTTAGCTGTACGAGGTTTTGACTTATTTTCTGGCTTACTATTTGGATCCGAAAGACTCAAAAAGGTTTTTAATAAATCTTCATATAATTCCTTTGGTAAAAGTTTTCTACAAGGTAATACTTTGTCTATAAATTCTTTAGAAGTTAAATTATAAAATCTAACAAACGGGATACAATGTTGTAAAGTATTTTTTAAAGTTTTGAAATCATCTTTTGAATAATTTGTAAAATTAGAGGAAAGTTCAGGATTTTGAGCGACTCCCCATTCAATTACGTGGTCCCAAATTTGAATTTCATCCATCAGAAGATGATCATTTTGAATAAGAGATATCAAAAGTTTTTCCGGAATTGAAGAAAAACTTGATGATTTGAATACCTTATCTGGTTCTTCAGATACTAAATTAGTACAATATTTTTGAAGTTCTAAGAAAGAATTATTTTCAAAGCTCGTTTGATACACAAAATTAAAATTTTCTTCTATCCAGTTCACTTTATTTTCAATCAAAAAGGATTGTGAATAAGTAACTAATTCTTGAAGACTTAATTCATTAGCAGCATTCAAGATTTTAATGATATCAGAAGGATCACACTCCTCCAAAGAAATTTTTCCTCCATAAATATACCTATAACGAAAAAAAAAAAAAAAATTTAATATAATTCTACTTTCTAAAAAAAAATAACGAACCATTTTATTGTATAATTTACCTTAAAATTATTTGAAAAATTTCGGGTGAAACGTTTGGTAATTTAATATGCGCCAAAGTTCCATCATTTTTCTTTTCGTTAGTTGATAAAATTCTTCGCAAATGAGGAGAACGATAATTTAAAATAACGATATGCGCACGAAATATTTTTATATAAGGATCATTACCAACTTCAATAGTAACATCATAATATTCTTCATCATTTAAAATTTCAAGTAAATTTTGAGATAATATTGGCAAAAATTTATTATCAGCCATTATAATTTTTATAATTTGTAATTTTTATAATGTAATGGTAAAAAAGAAAAAAATTAAAAAAATTTGAATACAATTGGGATACGTCAAATGATCAAACTTTATTGTAATCAATGTGTGACACGGCACAGTAACAATACGTAATTTTAGAAAATAAAATGATCGTATTTTGCATGGTAAGACGATAATAGGCTGAGTATAAGTATGACGTTAAAATTGATATTGAGTATAAAGTTTATACATTAGTTGTATGTATAACGTATAAATTGAATATAATATTATAGTCTTAGTATTTTTTTTTATACTTAATTTCTAGAAAAGTCGATATTCGATACTCGTGTTTGAAAAAAGTTTATTCATAAGAGAAAAATTTCTTGTATTACCAATTGATCAGCTGATTATGGTATACAAAAAACTTCTGCGCATGACATTTTACATAACCATATTATACACAGTAAGCCGATCCTACCATACTACTTTCCGTATTACACTAGCTTGCAACGATCAAACTCCTAAAACAAACTCTGTCATACTGTCATACTTGCAAATTCCGAATTCCGATGATTAAAAGGTCTAGATTCTTAGTTCAAAATAATATTTTTGCATTTTTTTTTTTTTCATAACAATTTTACAGGATTGGTATTAGATATCATTTAAGTAGGATTGCCATTATCAATTATATATAATCGATCGATCAACCAAAAAAAAAAATATCTGTAATAATAATAAAAATTTTTCTTTCTCCATTTTTTTTTTTCGTTTATACGATGAAATTTATACGATGTAATAGAAAAGAACGTTTAAAAAATTTTCTGTAATATAAAAAATTTGATTTTTAAAATTTTAATTTTTCATGATCTTCGTCCCTTTAGACCTTTAAACAAGCGAGCGAACAAGGCGAGAGATAATGCGATATACTTTTTTATTTTTCGTTTATCATATTGTAATTTTTTACAGGTATTCTTCGACAAAACAAATAGTCTCGACAAATCGGACCCACCCGTTAAATTAATAAAAAAATTTGATATATCAAGAAATCTGAACTATATCGAAAATATAAAGTACCATAATAATCATAATAATTCCGTTCCAAACAAAAAATTCAGGTATACTGAAGGCAGTATAAACATATTATAAAATATGAAAAAAAAATGAATATATTTTTTTTTTTTGTTGATAAAAAATAAAAAAAATTCTTCAATATTAACAATATTAATAATCGTTAATCTTTATAAATGATTTCACATACATACATAGAAAAACGTTGAAATAATGTTGTACAAAATTTCTTTGTCCGCATTTTACCGCATTTTTTTATTACCATGCTTGCTTTTTTGATTGGTGTTAATCATTATTTAACCGGTTAAGGAATAAAGTTTCAGCCGCCGATCTTCGTATCACCTTATAAATGAGTGATTGAAAAAAAAAAAAAAAAAAAAATATTTTTTTTTTTTTCTTTTTCCTTTCAACTTTTTTTTTGAAAAATTATTATCAAAAAAAAATCATGGCCTCAAATGATATTGAATCAAATCATAATGATAATGAAAATATTTTAAAAGATTTTTTAAAAGATTTTTATCGTCAAGTTGTTAGAATAGAAAATTATAGTAATTTTGAAACAATCTTAAAAGAATGGATGTATGATTTTTTTAAGAATAATGAAGAAATGGAATCTAAAACTATTTTAAAATTAATGGAAGATCATGAAGAAAGTTCTAATTGGTTCTCAAGTTTAATAGGATTCTTTTATGAACATGGTATAGGAGATGATAATATTATTGATAATGATAAATCTTTAGATTATTATTTATCTACTACTATTATTAAAGATGAAAATAAAAAATTTGTTTCAGTTTATCAAATAATTAATATTATTATAGCAAAATATTTATTATCATTTCGTTATTATAAGGATATTATTTTGGATAAAAGGGATTTAATCGCTAAAGAACTTAGACATTTGGAAAATGCCTACGTAATGTCTCAAAATCAATTTGAAAATTTTAATGGTTTGGAAATAAATTTATGTAAAGATGAAATTATTACTATAGAAAAATATTTTGAATCTTTGGATCAATTTGATTTTGTTGAAAAGAAAGAATTAATAGATTTAAATAATTTAGGTTATAGTTATCAATATGGTATTGGTAAAGAAAAGGATGAATTTAGAGCTTTTGAATTATATTTAGAATCTTCAAAAAGAGGAAATTCTAGTGCTCAAAATAATTTGGGTTATTGTTATCAAAATGGTATCGGTATTGAAAAAGATGAAAAGAAAGCTTTCGATTGTTATTTAAAAGCTGCTAATGATGGGGATTTATACGCTCAATATAATATTGGTGTTTGTTATCAAAATGGTATAGGAGTAGATAAGGATGATAATGAAGCTTTTCAATGGTTTATTAAATCTGCTGAAGGTAAAAATTCTTCCGCTCAAAATAAATTAGGTGTTTGTTATCAAAATGGTGTTGGTATAGAAAAAGATGTTAATGAAGCATTTGGTTGGTATATGAAAGCTGCTAAAGGTGGTAATGCTGATGCTGAAAATAATTTAGGTACTTGTTATAAAGAAGGTATTTCTGTTGAAAAGGATGAAAAGAGAGCTTTTGAATGGTTTTTAAAAGCTGCTAAAGGTGGAAATTCTGATGCTCAAACTAGTGCTGGTCATTATTATAAAAATGGAATTGGTAGAGAAAAAGATTTAGATAAAGCTGTTCATTGGTTTAGTAAAGCTGCTGATAATGGTAATGAAATAGCTCAATATCATCTTGGTGGTTGTTATAAATTTGGTATAGGTGTTAAAAAAGATTTAGTTAAAGCTTTCGAATTATATAAAAGTTCTTCTTCTAAAAATTGTTTAGAAGCTCAAATTCAATTAGGTAATTGTTATTTTTATGGTTCTGGTACTGAAGAGAATAAAGAAATGGCTTATGAAATTTATAAATCAGCTGCAGAAAAAGGTAGTAGTAGAGGGAAATATAATTTAAGTTTAATTTATAAATCTGGTGTAGGTGTTAGAAAAAATGAGAAAAAAGCTTTCGAATTAATTAAACAATTAGCTGATGAGAATTATTTTGATTCTAAATGGCATCTTGGTTATTATTATTCTCATGGTATTGGAACTGAAATTGATGAAGAAAAAGCTTTTAAATGTTATGAAGAAGCCGCAGATAAAGGAAATAATAATGCTATGTTTAATTTAAGTTTATTTTATCAACAAGGTAAAGGTGTTGAAAAAGATGAAAAAAAAGCTTTCGAATTAACTAAAAAATTATCTGAAAAAGAATATTCTGAAGGTCAATTTCAACTTGGTTATTATTATGAAAAAGGAATCGGTACTGATGTTAATAAAGAAAAAGCTTTTGAGCAATATAAATTAGTAGCTGAAAAAGATATAAATCATGTTCAATCACAAATTTGTCTTGCTAGTTTATATGAAGATGGTGAAGGTGTAGAAAAAGATCTTGTAAAAGCTTTTGAATGGTTTGAAAAAGCTGCAAATGAAGAAAATAGAGTTGCACAACATAATTTAGGTCAATGTTATGAATTAGGAAATGGTGTTGAAAAAGATTTGATTAAAGCATTTGAATATTATAAAAAATCAAATGAACAAAATTATTATCCTGCAAAATTTCAACTTGGTTATTGTTATGTTAATGGTATTGGTACTGAAGTTAATAAGGAAAAAGGTTTCGAATTATATAATGAAGGTACTGGAAGAAATAAAAAGTTTAATATTTTATTAAAGTATGAGAATAGTGATGAAATAGATTCTGATTTGGATAAATTAAATTATTGGTTTCGTAAAGCAGCAGAAGATGATGATAATAAAGTCGCTTTATATAAATTAGGTGAACTTTATGAAACTGAAATTGAATTTATTAGAAGTAAAGTTAGAGCATTTGATTTTTATAGACAAGCTGCTGAAAAAGGTGATATAAACGGAAAATATAAACTTGGCTATTGTTATGAAAATGGGATTGGAATCCAAGTTGATAAGACTAAGATGATTGAATTATATAAAGAAGCTGCTAATGAAGGAAATGTTGATGCACAAAATAAACTCGGATTTTTATATGAAGAAGGTAAAGGTGGTGTAGATAAAGATATAGATGAAGCTATTCAATGGTATAAGAAAGCAGTAGAAAATGGATGTCAGAAATCTAATGAAAATTTAGATAATCTTTTAAAATTAAAAGAAGGTAAGCTTATTAAATTTATGATTTTATTTTTTATATTTATTATTGATACTAATACATTTTTATATATTTTAGAAGCTGATAAAGCTAATAAAGATAATGAGGATGATGAAACTAAGGAAGATGATGAAGCTAACGAGAACAACGAGAACAATGAAAACAATGAAGCTAACGAGAACAACGAGAACAATGAAAACAATGAAGCTAACGAGAACAACGAGAACAATGAAAACAATGAAGCTAATGAAAACAACGAGACTAATGAAGCCGATGAAACCAACGAAGCCAATGAAACTAATGAAAACAATGAGACCAATGAAAACAATGAAACTAATGAAAACAACGAGACCAATGAAGCCAATGAAGCTAATGAACCTAACGAAACCGATGAGACTGTAGTCATTGAAACAAATGAAGCAACCGAAACAAATGAGAATAATGAAGTTTGAATATTTTAAATATGTGAAATATGTGAAATATGTGAAATATGTGAAATATTTCTGTTTTTTTTATTTTATTTCTTTTTTACTTGTAGTTTTTATTTAATAAAAATCATAAATTTATTGTTACAATTTTTTTTTTTTTTACCAAAGTATTATATTTTGATTTAACCATTTTAAAGTACAGTCAGACCTCTATATAACGATACTTTTGTTTCAGAGAAAATATATCGCATAAAGTATAAGTCATTAATGAATCGTAATGCAGGCCAAAATCCAATTCTCGCCGCAAACTTCAGATAGTTAAAAATATTTATTTTGACATGTAACACATCATGAGTATGGGTTCCTTAATGTTACAGACTTTACTTACAGTGGGTACGATATTAACGTACGAACTGGCCGGAATTAACGTTAACGCTATCGCGTGTAAGTGCATAACTCCCAAACGTTCGTACGTTAGGACGCCCCATGAGTATATATCCCCAATACCTTAGTTTTTAAGTACTTTTCTCTTCTTTTTTTCTCTAGGTCTTCTTTCATTTTTCGATTAAATAATCTTTAAATAATACTTCGATAAGTAACTCATCAGATAAACTAATAAACCAAGAAAATCTTCACTCAATGGGTCTTCTTTTTTCTTTAGGTCTTCTCTTTATTAAGTCAAATTAAGAATACCTTCATTTCTTTTTTTTAGATCTTTTCCTCGGTTCCTTTTATTTACATCTTCTTTTAGGTATGTAGGTTGGGAGCGTGGGTGGGTGGTGTGTGTGTGTTTGTGTATTCCCTCGCTCTTTTCTCGTTTTCCCTCTTTTCCTTTCCCTTTCGCTTTTTCCACTTTTCTCTTCCTTCTCTTTCCCTTATTCTCTCGCCCTTTTTCCTTTTTCCTCTCTCGCTCTCCCTCTTTCCTCTTTCTCTTCCCTTCCCTTTCCCTTTCCCTTATTCCTTCACTCTTTCCCCTTTCCCTTTCCCTTCCCTTACCTTTCCCCTATAAAAAAAAGTTTGTGCTAAATTTGTGCCAAATGGGTTAACCATACGACATTTGTTTAGAATTTGTTCGAATTTTATATTATTTTTTAGTACAAATTTCGAATAAATGTTGTATGATTAGCCCGTTTGGCACAAATTTAGCACAAACCTTTTTTATAGGGATTCTCTTTCCTTTCCTCTCTCTCACTTTTCTCTCTTCCTTCCCCTTCCTTTCCTCTCTCCCATTCTTCGTTCTTTCCTCTTTTCCCTTTCCTCTTTTCCTTTCCTTTCCTTTCCCTTTCATCTTCCTTTCCTTTCCTCTCATTCGCTTTCCTTCTTCCCCTTTCCTTTTCTTTATTCCCTCATTCTTATCCCTTTCCCTTTCCCTTTCCCCTCTCTCGCTTTTCCTTCCCCTTCCCCTCCTGATCAATGTTGCTGCACTTCAACGTTGCCAGGTGAACAAATTTTTTGACTAAGTCAGCAACGAATAGTATCGATTTGTTCACTTTTATTAAATATAATTATAAATTAAAAAATTTTTTTTAAAAAAAATTAGCTTTTATAATTATAATAACTGAATTAGCTTAGTGTTTCGATCCGGATAAAACCTCAAATATTTTAACGTGGGATTATGATTAAAAAAGGATACAAATTTCGGCTTTGAGTGGACTATAATTTCGGCCAGAATTAAAATAATATTATTCCATAAATTTTTATTAATTTTGGTGGCCCCGGCCTAAATTAACCGAGCCGGTATCCGGATAAAAACCGGATAAAACCGCTACGGATCGAAACTCTAAATTAGCTAATACTAAAATAATAAATGTAAAAACAATTTTAACATTTGGATTCAGTTAGTCTGCATCTATCGTGCAATTATGAAATTTCGTCCTGATATATAAACAAAGATAAGCTGTGGTGTATTTTATACACGGGTCATTTTTTCGTCATACACCACACAAGTGGTTGATCCTACACCACTGGTTTTCGTCTTACTTACAGTACCTACTCCGTACTCAATACAATTTTAGTAGCATACACCACTAAACTAGTACTGGTTGACCATACATTACTAATATTCTTTCTTTTTTTTACTTTCAGATTCAGTTCCGTCTCTGCTTGCTGAGGATCGGATTCTGTTGCGGCGTTGCGGTTTAACGGTAAGTGACTAATGATTTTTTATTGACGTAGGGTTATTATTAATATTAACTATTACTAATACTTTTTTTTTCTTTCTTTTTCTTTTAGGTTCGGTCAGTTCCGGGATTTTTTTTTAGGATCGGTTCGTTCTGCGATATCTGCTGCAGTATTACGTTAAATAGCTTCGGTTTCTTTTAGCGTCGGGTGATTAGTAATATTAAATTATTACCTGTCATTTTCTTTTTATTTTTTTTTTAGATATTCTGCTGCGGTGCTGCGGTCCAACGGTAATTGGCTAATGATTTTTTTTTTTTTGACGCTGGGTCAATTAGTAAAATCAACTATTACTATTACTTTTTGCTTTTCTTTTAGGTTCGGGCTCTTTATCGGTTGATTGCTGCTGCGATATTACGTAAATGGCTTCAGCTTCTTTTGTTCTTTCTTAGATTTCAGTTGGACTCTGCTGTGTCGGGTTGATTTCTTTTAGGTTCGGTCAGTTCCGGGATTTTTCTTTTTTAGGATCGGTTCGTTGCTGCGATTACTGCTGCGGCATTACGTTAAATAGCTTTGGCGTCAGAGGATTAGTAATATTAAGTTTTTAATAAATTTTTTCTTTCTTTTTCAGTTCCGTCACTCTGGCTGAGAAATTCATTGATCGGCAATTAAATATTTAAATTATACTTAAATTAGTATTATTTCCATATGTATAAATTATTACCTAAACCAAAAGATTTGAAGTTATATTTATTAAAGTTCTACTTTGTTTAAGTATGCATAAAAAATGCTAATATATTTATAGTTAGAAAATTTTTATTATGAAATTTCAGCCAATTCGGATTATACTGTACGTAAATCATCATCCAATTTTCCCCAAATCTTTATATAAACAACCATTATTCGTTAGAAATTGATTTGCAATGGAGTTATAATAAACTGCAATGCAGTGAAATGCGGTGAATGTACAACAGTGCAGTGAAACATAGCATATACAGTATTAAAAAGGACCCTTCCTTTTTGGAATGCACCATTTAGGAATTTAAATTTTTAAATTGTTGACAAATAAAACTATTTATTAATAATGTCAACACTTCCACTAATATCAAAGATTCAAGTAACAACATTAATTGGTTAGAAAAATCAGCAGAGAAGGGCGATAAATGGTCAATGCATAATCTTGCCTTATGTTACTACAATGGTAAAGGGACAGAGAAGGACTTGGGAATGGCCTTTCACTGGTTTCAGAAAGCGGCAGAGAAGGGTCATGAAGGGTCAATGCACGGTCTCGCCTTACAATACTACAATGGTGAAGGGACAGAGAAGGACTTGATAATGGCCTTTTACTGGTTTCAGAAAGCAGCAGAGAAGGGTGATGAAAGGTCAATCTACAGTCTTGCCTTACAATACTACAATGGTGAAGGGACAGAAAAGGACTTGGAAATGGCCTTTTACTGGTTTCAAAAAGCAGCAGAAAAGGATAATGAAAGGTCAATGTACAGTCTTGCCTTACAATACTACAATGGTGAAGGGACAGAAAAGGACTTGGAAATGGCCTTTTACTGGTTTCAGAAAGTAGCAGAAAAGGGTCGTGAAGAGTCAATGTATGGTCTTGCCTTATGTTACTACAATGGTGAAGGGATAGAAAAGGACTGGAAAATAGCCTTTCATTGGTTTCAAAAAGCAGCAGAAAAGGGTTATAAAGGATCAATGCATGATCTTGCCTTACGATACTATAATGGTGAAGGGATAGAAAAGGACTTGAAAATGGCCCTTCACTGGTTTCATAAAACGGCAGAGAAGGGTCATGAAGGGTCAATGCACAATCTTGCCTTACAATACTACAATGGTGAAGGGACAGAAAAGGACTTAGAAATGGCCTTTCACTGGTTTCAAAAAGCAGCAGAGAAGGATAATGAAAGGTCAATGCACAGTCTTGCCTTACAATACTATAATGGTGAAAGGACAGAAAAGAACTTGAAAATGGCCTTTTATTGGTTTCAAAAAGCTGCAGAGAAGGGTTATGAAGGATCAATACATAGTCTTGCTTTATGTTACTACAATAGTATAGGGATAGAGAAGGACTTGAAAATGGCTTTTCACTGGTTTCAAAAAGCTGCAGAGAAGGGTTATGAAGGATCAATGCATGATCTTGCCCTACGATACTATAATGGTGAAGGGACAGAAAAGGACTTGGAAATGGCCTTTTACTGGTTTCAGAAAGCGGCAGAGAAGGGTTATATATGGTCAATGCATGGTCTTGCCTTACAATACTACAATGGTGAAGGGACAGAAAAAAACCTGGAAATGGCTTTTCACTGGTTTCAGAAAGCAGCAGAAAAGGGTTATGAAGGATCAATACATGATCTTGCCTTATGTTACTATAATGGTGAAGGAACAGAGAAGGATTTGAAAATAGCTTTTCATTGGTTTCAAAAAGCAGCAGTGAAGGGTAATGAAAGGTCAATGCACAGTCTTGCCTTACGATACTACAATGGTGAAGGGACAGAGAAGGATTTGGAAATGGCCTTTCACTGGTTTCAGAAAGCAGCAGAGAAGGGTTATGAAGGATCAATGCATAATCTTGCCTTACGTTACTATAATGGTGAAGGAACAGAAAAGGACTTGGAAATGGCTTTTTACTGGTTTCAAAAAGCAGCAGAGAAGGGTTATGCATCATCAATGCATTATATAGCCTTTTATTACTATGATGGTATAAAAGGAATAGAGAAGGACTTGGAAATGGCCTTTCACTGGTTCCAGAAAGGGGCAGAAAAAGGTGATGAAGGATCAATACATAGTCTTGCCTTACGATACTATAATGGTGAAGGAACAGAGAAGGACTTGGAAATGGCTTTTCATTTGTTTCAGAAAGCAGCAAAGAAGGGTTATAGCTTATCAATGCAAAATCTTGCCTTCCTATATGACAATGGTGAAGGAATAGAGAAGAACTTGGAAATGGCCTTTCACTGGCTTCAAAAAGCAGCAGAAAAGGGTAATGAAAGATCAATGTATGATCTTGCCTTACAATATTACAATGGTAAAGGGACAGAAAAGGACTTAGAAATGACCTTTCACTGGTTTCAGAAAGCAGCAAAGAAGGGTCATAAAGAGTCAATGCATGGTCTGGCCTTATGTTATTACAATGGTGAAGGAATAGAAAAGAACTTGGAAATGGCCTTTCACTGGTTTCAAAAAGCAGTAGAGAATGATCATAAAGGGTCAATGTATGAACTTGCTGTATGTTATGACAATGGTGAAGGGACAGAAAAGAACTTGGAAATGGCCTTTCAATGGTTTAAAAAAGCAGCAGAGAAGGATTATAAAGAGTCAATGCACAATCTTGCAATATGTTATGAAAAGGGTGAAGGAACAGAGGAAAATTTGGAAAAAGGCTTTTATTGGCGCAAAAAAACTAATAATAATTTTAAATTTAATGACTTATGTAAGGGATGCAATCAACTATTTATTGATTACAGATGGTGCCAACAATGTAATATTAAACAATTTCAGCAAAATTTTTCAAAATGGACTAGTAAAAATAAATTTATTGATAAATTTATTCAAGAAGCACAACTAAATTCTAAAAGTATTTATGAAGTTTTAGAATGGATACCTTATAATAAATTGAATAATATTAATTATTATGATAAAGGAGGATTTAGTGAAATTTATAGAGCTATCTGGTTAGATGGACCTATTGATAGTTGGAACTTTGATGAACAACAATGGAATAGATGGACTGAATATGAAGTTATTCTTAAAAATCTTAATAATTCATCAAGTTTAAGTGATAAATTTTTAGATGAGGTATAGTATTTTATTTATTAGATACTAACTAAATTTTTTATTTTATCTTATAAATTAATAATTTTAAATATTTACTGTATTATATAGTGGAAACATCATTATAATTGTCAGAAAAAATCATTTTCAAAATTTATTCAATTCTTTGGAATTTCTCAAGATCTAAATAATTTAAATTATGTGATAATAATGAGTTATGCAAAAAATGGAAGTTTGAAAAAATGTTTATCTAATATAGTTAAATTTAAATGGCAAACTAAATTGCAATTATTGAAAAAGATTATTTTAGGACTTAAAGTAATACATGAATCAGAACTTACTCATTGTGATTTTCATGATGGTAATATCTTAATATCAGATGATTATAATGAAATATATATTATTGATTTAGGATTATGCAAACCTATACAAAATTCTGATGATAAAATTGATAAAGTTTATGGAATTATACCTTATATGGCACCTGAAATATTAAGAAACAACCCTTTTACTCCAGCAAGTGATATCTATAGTTTTTCAATGATTATGTGGGAATTTACATCAGGTATTCCTCCATTTAATAATAAAGCACATGATGTTGAACTTATTTTAAGTATTTGTGAAGGAGATCGCCCTGGAATTATAAAAAATACTCCAAAATGTTATATAGATTTGATGAAAAAGTGCTGGGATTCAGATCCTTCCAAAAGACCAAATATAGTAATTATTGAAAATACTATATCTGAATGGCTTAGATGTATTAATGAATATTATAAATTAAATGGTGAAGATGAACCAAGATATGAAGTTCCTAATATTGATATTCAATTAAAAAATGATATTCATGAATTTATAAAAGCAAATAGAGTTTTGACACAAGAACAAGCTAATATTTCTGTTTCACAAACTCATCCAAAAGCATATTATACAAGCCGCTTACTTACTGAAATTTTATATCAAAATAATTCTGAGTGTTTGGATTGTATAATTTAAATTTAAATATAAATTTCTATAATGACTTTATTTTTTGATTTCATAAACTTTAAATAAATTTTATTTGTGATGATAAAAAAAAGGTATCATTTGTAATAGATATTTTATTTAGTTTAATAAAAAATAAAAAAGTGTTTATTGTTCAATAAATTTATTTTTTATTTAAATAAAATATTAAAAATGGATGCAAATTTGTTTAATAAAGTCAATCAAAATATTAAAAAAAAAATAATCTGTAATGATGTAATGATATCAGGATTCTGATTTGTGACAGTTATCAAATTGTATAAAAAAAAATGAAAACAAAATAAAGAATTAGAAAATGTATTTATTAAATATTCCAGATCGGCACTAGACTATTATTTGCAAATTCATGATAGCAGTAATTTCAGAATTATTAGTTTACTACAAATTACTTTGCATATAACTTAATTATCATATGTGGCTTAGGTATGTGATGGATGTAGATTGATACCTGACGCGCGTCATTTATCACATAAGATTCGTTATTAGTAACAATAATTCCTATTGGTCATTGCAGTAATTCTAATGACCGAACTATAATTCAGTTACTGGATGGGGATATCGATCTTTGAAAATATCTCTTTTCCTCATCAAATAACTATTTATTAGAATTAAACATTAAATTTTCTAGACTTAATAATTATTTTTTTTTTTATCATAAAGTAGCATTTATCACATTAAAAATAAAAAGTACGTAATTCTAAAAATATCAAACTCATTGAAAAACAATTTATAGTATTTCCAAAATATTTTAAATAAATTACAAGTTTTTTCAAGTAAATTTTACTATATATAATTTCACTTAAATCAAATCAAATTTTCATAATAATTCCGACCGATTAATTATAATTTAGCAGCTGTCACCTGATAACACATACTATAAAGTATAAACACAACAGTATATTTGTCTGCTTAAATTTCATTCTCATAAAACAAAGCATAAATGGACTGACCATATTTCTTAAAATATAAAACAAATAGTAATATTCGTGAATTGCTTACTATAATTTTAAATGTTGATAATATTAATTACGATTTTATGAATCCCATACGGTTGATGCCATCCTCAAAATTTGATATCAAACAAAAAATATTAGAATTTACTAGCGTACTATATTACATTTTTTAATTATTTTATTGTTTATTAAGAATGAGACTCATATATAAGAACGTAACCAACTCAGATAGTATTAAGTGAAATATTTTGTTTCCAGAAATAATTGCAAATAATATACTGTATAACGTTGTGTTTCATTATTCATAAAAATATGAGTAAAATAAATTGCTAGTTTATAATATAATTTGTTATAATGATAGTATACTAAATCTTAATCATTACAAATAAATAAAAAACGCCTTAAGGCAGGTTAACAAATTCACGCTCTAAATTGCAAATAACATCCAATTAATTTGGTAATTTGGGTAACATTTTTTTATATATCTCGAAGTATTCTATTTTCTAGTATGTAGTATTATATTCGTTACACCTAAAACTTGTGACTGCTTGGGACATATCCTCAAAGGACGACCTTAAAACTGTGTATCATTTGTTCAGAAGTTGATATTGGAGCGGGAATCAAAGAATAGAATGAAAGATCAAGAGATACAAGAACTTCTTCATTCGTGGTTTGAATAATAAGCAGTGATATGGCAGTATATTTGGAAAATGCGTGTTTATATTTGAGTGCAAATAAATTCAATCCAGAAAAAGTAATATGATCGTTTATTAATATAATTACACCAATGAACTTGATTTAACTAAACAATCAAGTGAAATTGTTAGTTGCATCTGATGATGAATTACTTCTCAAAGTGTTAGACATGTTCAAGATTATTTAATTGAAAAACAAACTAGTTGGGTTCACAAAATTTTTGTTCTTGTTCTTAATGCTGTGTTTAGACTTAATAATTGCAAAAGACTACGAGATTATTGTCCTGAATCTATCTGCGAAGTTCTACTATAACTTTTTTCCTTAAATAAAAACTTTCCTCTCAATTAATAAGGAAATACTTCTGGCTTGCTTAAAACGAATTGAAGAAGTTATTATTTGGATTATTTAATTAAATGGGGTATTGAATAAACTCCTGGTCTTGGGAATAAGAATAGTGATATAGCGAAATGGATTAATAAAGATTATGAAGCATTGAAGAAGACTTTATCAAAAAATCTATGCGGGAAATTTTCACAAATAGAGCGGAAAGAATAAATTGATTTTTTGTAAAATTATTATCCCTAATCATATTTATGAAGAAATTGAAGAATTCTATTATAAAGACGTCCTACCTAAAACTACAACTTTACCTCCTAGAACTTGGCTTTTCAACCAGAATAGGAAAAATTGATTCAAATATTATCAAATCAAAACTTACAAAAATTATGGTAGTCGTGATGAAATAAGTACTGAATCATTTAGGAAACAATACAATGGAATGGTCGGGTAACAAGTTTAGTCTTAATCAAGGTTAAAATCACAAAATTTTTGGTGAATACAATTCTATCAAATTTAGTTCATTAGGAGATGATTATACTGAAAATGTTATTGGTTATCAATTTCAAATCATCAGATAATTTTATTATTTCATTTGAAGATATTCATTGACCCCAAACAAGTGGGAAGCAATGTTCAAAAAGATAATGAAAGAGTAATGCTTAATGGAGATAGTATAATAATGATTTTGAAGAAAAACGATTAAAATCGCAAATAAGATGTTTGAAAATTCGACGGAAATGATGATATAATCATGTATTTTTTCTCCTAATTTTTAGGAATTTTACTGACGAATTAGGAAATTTTTATAGGAAAATACATGATTATAATGATGATTACAAGTTTATCAAGAATTTCTGAAATAGTGCCAATACTAAATCCTATACTATTAACAAGGAAGAATTCTTAAAGACGAAGATAAAAGAGAAAACAAAAAGTGAATTCAACATTTACTGGATAATATAGAGGAATAAAAAATATTAACGAAATGGATGAACAAAGAATTAAGATTCAACACAAATGGGCATAGGTTGGGAATTTAATTTTTGTTTTATTTTTATTTGTTTTTATTCTTTGAGATAGAGAAATTTGAAAAAAGAAAAATAAGTAATGTTCGTGCTGTTAAATATATGTCATAATTATATAGAAATTATACTGCTTGTATATTATTATTAGTCACGATGTATCCAAAAAGATTTTTAAAAGTATATTTATATCCTCAAATTTTTTAGTTTTCTCAAATTTTCTTAAAACTTCTTTCTCTAAAAAATACGTTTATCTCTTTACAGAAAAATATTCAACATGTATTTTTCCTTAAATTGTTTACTTCTAGGCAATGGATTTAATAATTCTTTCTCGATTAATATTGACACAATTTTTGATTCTGAAACTATGAAGTCAACTATGATGATATCAAAGTTTCGCATATCAAGTCTCTTGTCTTTGATAGAAAAAGTTATAAACTTAAATCACTTAATATTAACAATTCTGACAGTCTGGAACTTTGGAAGGTCAATGGTAAAAAGGTTAAAAATAACTAAAATAAACTTGAAGGATTTTTTACCGAAGATGAAATTAAAAATGATCTTGGAGGCGAGTATATGGAATCTCAACACTTTCTTAGCAGATATTTTGTTAAAAATAAAGTAATCCATTCACATCATCGTGCAAGTGCCCGCCACTAGTAAATGTATCCCAATGTTTTACCTCCCGAACAAGAAATTTGCAGTAACAAAATATCAAGTTTAGTTGGATACCTTTATTTCATATAATAATGTTTTTGTTTTTTTTTCTTTCCTGCTTCTTATCATCAATCATCACCCAAAAATTTATCATAGAACCTTCAAGTATTAATGAGCTCATGGGAAAGATATTAAAAAACGTTATTAAATCAAGTGACAAAACTCCTGATTTCTCTAATAGTACTTAGAGTTGAATTGTTTAACCATTTAAAAAATAATCCAGAAAATATTTTAAAAGATCCATTCTCTCAGCGGCCTGTTCTCGATCCTGATTTTTTATCAATTTACCTTGATTTTGGACGAGATATGGAGCTGGGTATCTATGATAACAATTTGACTGCTGATTCTGTAATTGCTTTACGTATTGCTTTTAAATTCTTTATTGATGGGGGATCGTATGAAATGGATTTTAATGGTTTCCGTCAAAATATTTATGGTCTTTTCAATGTGAATGATACAATTAAATCTCTCGCAAAATTTGAATATATCATGAACCTTAACCATGTAATTCAGAGCATTCGTGAGTCTCGCCAGTTAAAGGATAATCAAATTCTTCCTCCATATTGATGAAATTCAAACAATGTTCAAGTATAATAAGGGGCTTACCAAGGAGTTATTACACGTAGTGGGCCACTATATGATGAATAATGAAGCTTTTATCCAAACATTTATATCTGGAACAGCATTACAGGAGGTTGTCAAGTTGAAGAAACCAACAAGCTTTAGTTTCAACTATATTAATTGTCCTTTTCTCTCAATGAATGCTTATATAGAAATTGTAAATGATTTCGCAGTTAAACAAAATGATATAAATTACCAGTGGATTCTTGATCAACCATTTATTAAAATTCTAGATTATGACATAGTCTCCCACGTGCAATCGAATATATTCTTGATGGTATTTTTAAAACAGGCTTTTTTAGGAATCATATCTGGAATCCATCTAATTTCTTTGACAGTATTGTGAACAGGTTAGACATGAGGTATGTTAATAAAAAATAAAAAAATAATCGTCAATTATAAATCCTTTCAGTCACTCATGTGTTAATCACATTTTTTTATTGCTCAGCTATGCTATAACGGCATTTGTTGAAGAACATGAAGATCTTGCCTTTGCTTTGATTAAAAATTGTATGAAAAATAATAAAGGACAGAGAAAGTGTTGAAAGATAATGAAAAGTCACTAACTTATGAAGCCATTGTATTTAAAAATGCTGCTTCAGCAGAATTTGGTGATTTATTTGTTCGATATGTAAGTACAGATGATGACTTTGCAGATGATGATGATAATGGGTATCTTTTTTGCTTACAATGTAAGTGGATAGGGAGAAAAGAAGATTTCCAAATTCCGTTGAAATTGAATGAAATTATACATGAGCATAAAAAAATTTTAGCTACTTTAAAGCAATGTGGTTCTGACTTCTGAAGAGATTAAGAAGCAACGGATTATTACTATATTATTCACGACAAAAGCGATTAATCCTGACTTGCACTATTCCATCCGTTCGGCTATTCCTGATGATGTTCTTGTTGTTTGCAGAGACAACTTTCATCAACACTTTGGTAGGCTGTTTGTCTCCCAATTTGATTTTGAATTATTGTCCGTCAGCGCAAACTATACATCTCCAGAGGTATCTTTGGTACAGCATTAAAAGATTCACTACGGGATTTGAAGCTTAAGCGACCATTTCACTCACCTAAGGATTTCAAAGATAGAGTAGCTTTCAAAGATAGAGTTTCTTTTGACAATGATGATGGAATTAATGCAGGCTCTCGTATGCATGCTCCATTTCAAAAACGTAAAGTTCTGCAAACTCGAGTTGCTTTTCAAACAATCACGTGAATCTTATAACAGCAATTTACGCATAAGCAGATAAATTAAAAGTCCGTACGATACTTCATATTTCCCGAAGTATTTTTTGTTATATTCGGATAATATTAATGCCTATCCGGAATATAATTTCCTAAGTCTTTACTCACTCATAAATTTTTTTGGGGTCTAAAAAAATTCCCAGGATCAACCAGAAGTCAAACTATTGTGCTACTAGTAATGTCTAACGTTTAATAAAATTTACCTGTTTTAAGTTTTAAGTTTTAACCAAATATTTTTTTTTGACTTACTATATTTATTATGTGCATACCCATCGAGTTATTTTTGTTAATTACGCTGGGGAGTTGTTTACAAACTCGACATTTATTTTTAAAATTTTCCCTGATAGATTGATAGATTCCATTTCTGAAACAAGATCGATTTATGAAAACTAATTTATTTTTTAATATTAATATTAGTGATATAAAAAAATTTGTAGAATTAGGGATGTCAATTGAAATATCAAAGAATGAAAAATTCAAATCTGAAACTAATATTACTTGTTATTATACAGTATATAAAAAAAGTATTAATGTATATCTTTTTGCCATAAATAATTCTAATCTTCCTATTTTTTCGCATCTTGGGCACGTTGTTATTTCATACATATTCTTTGATTTGTAATACTATTTGTTAATAAAGTTTTAAAAAATTTTAACTTTATAGCCCTTAATCTTTATTAGTTATTTGATTTTCAAACTAATTGCCAGTCTATTTCATACGTTTGCGTGCGATTAAAACAATTACATAATACTCAATGAATTTTGCGCTTCCGCAGCAAATTACTGAGTCGCCGCAGTTTTATTCTTGTGCAACTCAGATCTATTTTTATTCCATAATATTTTTACTCTGAACGTAACGCATTTTTATCTGAGTCATACTGCCTATAAAATGTAACATTATGTCTGAAATTGTATTACCACCGCTATTGCTACCAGAATAACAAGCAAATGTTAATGAATGAAATATTGTAGCCATTTTTCATTATATTCATTAAGGTAATTAACAGATAATAAAATGAATAAAGTTCTCACAAAATCGATTAACTGTTAATCACTTTGGAATAGTAAACAATAAATTTTAATTATATATATACAGTATATATTTTCATAGATTCAAATTATGCCATTTCAGGACCAAATTTCAAGTTTCAACTTGGAAAAAAAATATAGTATATGATACTCTATATTAAGGGTTGTCATCAGCTGCGCCGATTATTGTACTATTACTATCTTGTGGTACTTGTGTACCAAAGTCATTGAAGTAATTTATTTTGATTCACAAATAATTTTCGCCGCAGACACAGGCGGTGTAACATAACCAAATGATAGTTAAATGAAGGTTGTGTTACAAATATTTGATGTAACAAATCGACTGTCTGTGGACCTGCGGCTAATCACTGCGGTCTATAATAATTTATATAAACTTCAAATTCTTTCCATAGAAAACAAATTTTCTGAAAGAAGAAAATAAAAATAAGTAACATAAGAATAAAATAAAAAAAAAAGTGCAAAAGCTTTTTATAAAATCATGTCCTTAAACAATAACGAAAACTCAACGGATATAATTGTATTAAAAGAATTATTAAAAGATTTTTATCGTCATGTTATATTTATAGAAGATTATAATAATTTTGAAAATATTATAACAGAAAGAATCAAAGAATTTATTAAATATAATAAAAAAACTCCTGAAATAATTTTAAAATTAATGGAAGATCATGAAGAAAATGAAAATTGGTTTTCTAGTTTAATAGGATTTTTTTATGAGTATGGTATAGGAGTCATTAAAATTGATAAAAATAAATCTTTAGAATTATATTTATTAACAATAAATAATGAAAATAAAAAATTGATTTCCTTATATCAAATACTTAATATTATTATAGCAAAATATTTATTATCATTTCATTATTATAAAGATATTCTTTTGAATAAAAGAAATTTGATTTTTAAGAAAATTGAGAATTTAAATAATATACATATAATGTCACAAATTCATTTTGAAAATTTTAATGGATTAGAAATAAATTTATGTAAAGATGAAATAATTAATATGGAAAAATATTTTGAATCTTTAGATAAGGATTTTAATGATAATAAAAATGATAATCAAATAGATTATATTAAAAAGAAAGAATTAGTAGACCTAAATAATTTAGCGTATTATTATCAATATGGAATAGGAAAAGAAAAAAATGAATTTAAAGCATTTGAATTTTACTTAAATTCCTCAGAAAAAGAAGGAAATTCAGATGCACAAAATAATTTAGGATGTTGTTATCAATATGGAATTGGAATAGAAAAAGATGAAAGTAAAGCATTTGAATATTATTTAAAAGCTTCTAATCAAGGAGATATTTATGCTCAATATAATTTAGGTGTTTGTTATCAAAATGGAATAGGAGTAAGTAAAGATGATGAAAAAGCTTTTGAGTGGTATTTTAAATCTGCAGAAGGAGAATTATCAATTGCACAAAATGTATTGGGTAATTGTTATAGTAATGGAATTGGAATAGAAAAAGATAAAAACAAAGCATTTGAATGTTATTTAAAAGTTGCTAAAAGGGGAAATTCAAACGCTGCGGATATTGCATTAGGTGATTGTTATAAAAATGGAATTGGAACATCTAAAAATGAATATAAGGCATTTGAATGTTATTTAAGGGCTGCCAAAAGAGGAAATTCGGATGCAGAAAATAATTTAGGCGACCTTTATAAAAGTGGAAACAGAATAAAAAATTTAAATCAAGCTATTTACTGGTATAAAAAATCAGCAGAAAAAGGAAATGCAATAGCACAATATAATCTTGGTAATTGTTATAGATTTGGAAAAGGTGTTGAAAAAGATTTATTTAAAGCTTTTGAATTTTATGAAAAATCTGCTAATAATGGGTATTTAAATGCACAATTTGAACTTGGATATTGTTATTCAAATGGATTTGGAACTGTACTTAATACAGAAAAAGCATGTGAATTATATAAAATAGCCGCAGAAAAAGGTCATAATAATGCACAATATAACTTAAGTTTATTATTATATTCACCAGGAGAAGGGATTAACAAAGTTGAGAAAGATCTATTTGAAAAAGTTGAAAAATTAGCTGAAGAAGGATGTTTGGATTCTCAAAATCAACTTGGATATTATTATAATCATGGAATTGGGACTAAAATTAATAAAGAAATGGCATTTGAATTATATAAAATAGTAGCTGAAAAAGATCATAGTATAGCTCAAAATAATCTTGGTGATTTATACAAAAATGATGAAGAATTTAAGAAAGCTTTTTACTGGTATAATAAAGCAGCAGAAGATAGTAATAATATAGTTGCACAGTATAATGTTGGGCAATGTTATGAACTAGGAATTGGTGTTGATAAAAACTATAGTAAAGCATTTAATTATTATCAAAAATCCTATGATCTGGATCATTTAGAATCATATTTTCAACTTGGATATTGTTACATAAACGGACTTGGAACTAAAATTAAGAGAAAAAAAGGACTTGAATTATATAATGAAGCAGTCGGAAAAGATAAAAAATTTAATATTTTATCATACTATGAAAATGAAGATGGAATAAATAATGATCTGGATAAAGTATTATATTGGTATTATAAAGCAGCAGAAAATGATAATAAAGTTGCATTATATAAATTAGGTAAAATTTATGAAACAGGAAAAGGTGTTTATAAAAATATAACTAGGGCAAATGCATTTTATAAGCAAGCCGCTGAGCTTGGATACTGTCACGAAAATGAAAATGAGCCGCATAATGATAAGAAGGTGATCAATCCATATGAAAAAACAGCTGAATCAAAAAATGATTGCACTGAGACACATAATGATGAGGAGGTGATTAATTCAAATAAAAAAACAGACGAGTCAAAATGTATTATTATGTGAAGAAATTTAAAGATAAAATGAAAATTAAGTGAATATTAGAAAACAGTAAAATGAATTTAATAGTACTTATAATTTATTATTAAGATTATAATAATGCTTTTTTTATCCTTTAAAGAAGAAAATGAGTTTAGTAATTTATTTCCTAGTCATTTTTCGTTTTGTTAAAGTAGGCAAGAATAAGTTTGATCAGAATTGTAAAATCACACGATAAAATTTCAATCATAGAATCATTTGCCCTTTGTGTCTTTTAATGTATTTATTTATTATTTATTATTTATTATTTATTATCTGTTATATATCAATTTTATTATTTATTTATTTATTTATTTATTTTATTCTCTTGTTGATACAATCACGTGATAAAAACTATGGTCCAATTGACATAATATAAAAAAAATCATTCGGAATATGATAACTGATTGGATAATGAATGAAGATCAAATCATCAATCGGAACATTTCCGATTATGGAAATCAATTTACTACGCCATCGACATAAATCATGTCTTTATTAGGAAGAATAATCAAATAATTCGGCTCATAATCAATTAAGTAATACGCCCTAGCTATTAATGGTTATCAAATTAAGAAATAAATAAAATAAAACAGAGAAATAAAATAATCGGTTACCAAATATTGTAAAATTCATTGTTGTTATAAATTATTATATAATACTATAATCAACCAATTGAACTAGGTAATACATAATATCGTCTTTTTTCTTATACTTTTTGGGTAAGTTTTTTTTTTAAAAAAAATAATACTCTACATTACTTCGGAAATGTGATACAAAATTTGATTTTAAATAATTTTATATTTATGGTAACTTTTATATGAACATCAGACTACTTTCTTTTTGTTCTTTTTAATGGGACCGACCTTCCTCAAGGAATTCTTGGAAAAGACGAAAATATAATATATTAATTGTTCAAAAAAAAAAAAAAAGTATATTTACTAATCTTACATCATGTTAATTTAACAGAAGGGTTCTATGGATTTTTCTCATAGAATTACTGCGCCTTGTGTTTATGTTTATTCTTCTGTATCACGTTACTTGAAGTACTGCGC